AGGCACAGAGAACTACAAGTTCCAGCATACCCAGCTGAACTAGTGGCAGATATTCCCTTAGGCACAGAGAACTACAAGTTCCAGCATACCCAGCTGTACTAGTGGCAGATATTCCCTTAGGCACAGAGAACTACAAGTTCCAGCATACCCAGCTGTACTAGTGGCAGATATTCCCTTAGGCACAGAGAACTACAAGTTCCAGCATACCCAGCTGAACTAGTGGCAGATATTCCCTTAGGCACAGAGAACTACAAGTTCCAGCATACCCAGCTGAACTAGTGGCAGATATTCCCTTAGGCACAGAGAACTACAAGTTCCAGCATACCCAGCTGAACTAGTGGCAGATATTCCCTTAGGCACAGAGAACTACAAGTTCCAGCATACCCAGCTGTACTAGTGGCAGATATTCCATTAGGCACAGAGAACTACAAGTTCCAGCATACCCAGCTGCATGCTGGGATTTGTAGTTTGCCTGCCGATAACGAATTCCAGAGGTAAGTACTACAGATATTGGAGGTGATTATGCAGTGATGAAAAAAAAATGTAAACAAATGTGTAGAAAATCTGAAGGAAATATTTATAATAAAGGCGAAAAAGTCAAAAAAAAAGATAAATGTAATCCAGACATGGAACAATAGAACACTATAGGGGGGGTTATGTCATTCAATAACAAAAAAGAAAACATCCAACTGTTACAGTGGAAGTCTCACAATGCCTGCAGGCAAGGCATGCTGGGCTCTGTAGTCCCACGAGAGCCAAAGGTTGCCTATAACTGCTATACACCCATGAAACTGAACCCGCCGGGGCACCTAGCGCAGGAAAACTTCCTCCATCATTCCTTGTAACCCGCCGGCATTTTTCTAGATGAAAGCTGGAAAGGAGAACACCGTCCGGTGCGATTGTAACCCCCCCCCCCCGTGTTTTCGGTCACGCCGATCTCAGCCGTAGCCCCGGACCGCACATTTCTACGGCACGCACACACCGCACTTCTGACTTTACCTAAACTTTCTCACGCTCCCCCAGCAATCCCCCAGAGATGGCAGAGAACACAGCGCCGTCTGTCTATAAATATACCTCTGATGTAGTATTAAAGCGCCACACGGTGGACGCCAGAGAAGCAAGCGCCTCGCAAAGCCGTCAGCCAAAGGAGAGCATGACAAATCCGCTGAACCCAAATAGTCCAAACTGGAACTTATATTGTTTAGTACGAAGCTTCCAGAACACGGCGACCTGACCGCAAACAAGCCGGAGGGGGAAGTTAATGACCTAAGAAATCATTATTTTACCCAAAGTGTAGTTGATACTCGGTACAGACTTCCAGTAGAGGTACAGAGTCTGCCATCAGGGAGGGAATACATGTCTGGGACACACACACATCTGTACTCAGCCAAACAGGGGGAAAGTATAACCAAAAAATAAAGAACAGGGGCAGAATTGAGGGATCATTGGGTCATTTTGTGCTCCATTACTCGGATGGATGGATAAGGATAGATATAGATATGGATGGATAGCTATAGATCATGGATGGATGGATAGCTATGGATGGATATAGATAGGTCTGGATGGATAGAGATCGATATGGATAGATAGATAAAGGATACGTAGATAGATAGATAGATATGGATAGATAGATAAAGGATAGGTAGATAGATAGATATGGATAGGTCTGGATGGATGGATGGATAGATAGATAGAGACCGATATGGATAGATAGATATGGATAGGTCTGGATGGATAGATAGAGATTGAGATAGATAGAGATTGAGATAGATAGATAGATAGATAGATAGATAGATAGATAGATAGAGACCGATATGGATAGGTAGATAGATATGGATAGGTCTGGATGGATAGATTGATGGAAGGATATGGATAGGTCTGCATGGATGGATCGATGGAGATAGATAGATGGATGAATATGGATAGATAGATATGGATAGATGGATATGGATAGATAGATATAGATAGATATGGATAGATGAATATAGATAGATAAAGAAATCTAAGGTTGCAGCACTTAAATGAAATGTAGAGAAAGAATGTCCGGTTCCAGAGATGTTTCCAGCGATAGATACAATGATATATATGTGACACATAGAAGGAGCTCAGAGTTCAGCATAAAGCCGGGGTTTGTATTGGGACATAATGGGCCTTCTTATAGTAATGAAGATTTGGGAATCATCGCTGTGTGTAAGGACCACATGACCGCCTCTGAGTGAACGGACATCTTCCGGCTCCACACACAGATTTATTTTGGCCGGTTTCTTTCTCTCTGGTAAGTTTTTGCATTGCAGGGAGATTTCTCTAGAACACTGACTGGTCATCTCTGCTACAAAGGATGATCTGTGACAGGCTGGCTCTGGGTACTAAGTTCTTGGCCTCCATGGACATAGGATAGGTGACTTGTCCCAGCATGGAGGGGGCAGATCCTTCCACCCTCTACCAGTGTTCCCATCAGATCATCATACATGACCCCATTCCTAAACATGATGCAATGCTTTATTATCATGACATTGTTCTCTGGGTTTACCGGGAACTGTTCTTTGTATCATAGTTTCTGGAATACAAATCGCCAGGTATGTAAGAATCTCACAGGAACCAATCAGGATTCAGTGTACTGGAAAACAAACTTCTGATTGGTCACTATGAGCTTCTGCGCTTTAGTGAAGGGTTTAAGCCTTGTGCAGGCGCACTACATATATATATATATATATACCCGTCCATCATATGTTTTTATGTCTACAACAAAGTCTGTACATAATTGTCAGTCTCTCCGGGGTCACAGAGGATGGTTGTTCTGCCGGTTGGTGCAGCATGGCAGCTCTGTGCCGTCCATACAGCCATGAATAGAAGGTGCAAAGCCCTCCGTGTCCCCTGACAATGAGGCGGCATTCTCAGGGTTAATCATAGGTGTGGTGACCCAAACATGATTCCTGTGGCCTGGAGAGGAGACTTTATGAAAGCAGCTGCTGAGGAGTTGGGTTACAGGCCGGGATGTGCAATTCCCAGGAAGAGACTTCACTCTGCAACCAGCACTCACAGCTCTCGTATGAATGG